GCGAGAGAATTGACATTTCTTTGATTATTTCGGAATAAAAATTGTCGTATTGATTAACACGAAATCTTTATTCAGACGTATGCTTTAAGATAGCAGTAGTTCTCATGAACAAATGAGAGAGAGAGAGAGAGAGAGAGAGAGAGTGTGTGTGTGTGTGTACATGTGTGTATGTTATTTTATATATTAATTTTTATGGCAACTAATAATATATTGATACAAACTAGCAATCGCTATGGTAATTTATAAACCAGTTTTCTCCTTTACACATGAAATATCAACATATTTGAGTTAATTTTTAGGAAGATCCGTCTTGAAAAATAGTTATCGGAAACACAACGAATTAATATACATTTATTTCATTTTGAGAATCAAATTTCTTCGATATTTCCAACAAAAAGGTTATACTCCATTAAATGTCATCCTTAAACTACGTGAATCTGCATTGCACAGTGTGCATAATTGAACAGATGGGAACACTCATTCATCATTCGTGTAATTTCGACTGCCGAACGGGGGCCAGTCGGATTTAATCGCGAAAACCTGGAATAACTTTGTTGACGTGATAATCTAAAAAATATATTCATCGCTCGCTGCTTATCTAGCACGGGTAGCGCGCTCTAATCATGAAAACTCATTATGAATCTTCCGCCTGAGAATAAGAGAAAATATTTCGCCGAGGACCAAAGTAATCTCGTGTAATGTCGTTCATTCTGAAGTAGCTCGTCTTTATGCCACTCTTGAGAGACATTGTCGAGAACGGCGCCATACATTGCGTGAATTTAATTTCAGATCCTTATTATAAGATTTAATTATGCAGAGCATTTCGCGTCACTTATACTGAATAAACCATTCAAATTGAGAAGTTTCGTGCGAGCTAAGCATAGAAACAGTCTCGTGTATCATAAAGCTGTATTTTTCATTCAATTTCAGATACTTGATAGAATTTTAATTCGGATAATTATAACGATATATAGTAAATACTAAAACGACACTTCAGTATGAGTTTCGGAAAGCGATGAACGAATTACGTAAGCGATCACCATAGACTTTTGTTTCTTGCTTGCGATGTTATATTTATTAAAAAACACGTTTCACAATTCGCGACGCGATGCGAATTTGCATAGAGATCATTTTTCGGTTCTTACGCA